ATTATTTGCAGGATGAGTAAAAAATTTCATTTAATTGAAAGTAATTCTGTGACAAACAAACCGTAAGCAAGTCTGATATTTCCTTTTTCACTACCGGATTGATAGACTTTTCGTCCAATGGATTCTATACAAGAGTAATCATTTCATTCGGAGTAATACTTGGGAAACATATTTTTTACATCGAATGAAATCAATTTGGCATTATCCAGGACTGTAATATCTTGAATTTCATTGATCAAATGGTAAGAAATCTTCAAAATGAATTTTGATTTGAAATTGGTGTGGTTTTGAATAATTGCAATGACTTTATTTCAACTGAAGGAGCTGTGACAAAAGAAACTACCGGTCTTATTGGGTAGCTATCTTTGTGTAATTTAATCAACGAATACATACTCAAACAAAAAATTTTTACGGAATTTAGAGTACAGTAGAAAATTGATATAAAAACCAAAGGCATTACATATGGCAAAATTCATACTGAATATCCTGATGAATTATGGTATAATCAATATCCATATTTAAGTAGAAGGCATATCACAACTATAATTAGGACGAAAACAGGGCACTGTTTAACAAAAAAAAATATACCAAATTAAAATAAAAGATAATCCATATTGTGAATGTGGACAAGAAGAAACTTTGGAACATATTTTCTTTGAATGCTCAATCAAGGGATTCCTAGGTAAAATTCCTGAAGTGTTTTATTGCCTAGGAATTATGAATTCCAATGTAATACAAAAACAAAGATGTCAGATCCTTCACTGGTATCCCATCTATTAATTTTTCCATCCTGGGTTCATTTTATCCGAGGCAGCATTTCGGTTTGTGGTACTGCTTCACAGCTGCCCTAAAGCTAGAAGAGTCTATACCTGCTATAAATAACGTATCTTGCACGTTATTCATAGCAAGTATAGCATTCATAGCAGAAGAAATGGAAAAACAGAGAATACAAATATATTAAGAAGAAAAAATGGAGTACAGTAGTATGTAAAACAAGACTCCTGTACTCCCTGGATAAAGTTTTCATTAAAGTTATTACTATGATAAAAAGAGCACTGATCATAATAGCGCCAATTCTGGAAGCTGGGGCCAAACTTAAGAAGAAGAAAGTGGTTGTGGGTTCATGACTAACGATCTGAATTTTTCCGTTTCATCCATGACAATGAATATTTTTCAAATTTTCCTTGACTTCTTCTTGATATAAATGAGTGTGGTCGTTTCTGAGACTCTCGTACATGCCAGCATTTAGAAAGTCTAAAGTCTCTATGTATTCTTATTTGTTCGTGGCTATGACCGTTGTGCCTTTATCAGCTCGCGTGAAAACAATGTTATTTGCTGCCGATTTCTCTTTTATAGATTCAACTAGAAATGATTATATCACATTATTTCAAATATACATAGATAGATTTATATTTATTGAAGCTTTCAATTTAAACAATCGATAAAACTCAAGTCCGAAAAATGATTACATTAACAACACAAATATCTCTTGATAATAATACAGTGCATTTCTTTAATGTCCCCCCTTTTATTTT